TATTTAATAAGCTTGCTTGAGGTACAGGAATCATGCCTTCTCTCTCTCTCTCTCTTTTTAAGTTTTAAGGCATATGAAAATCTTCTGTCTTTGTCTAAATAGGACACATTCCTACATACTGCTTTCCTATGTATTTTGCTAAACAATTTAGTTCTTGGAAATAAATAAATGACATAGACTTGCCATGACATCACTGTGATGGAATTTTTTTAGGTCTTCATATTAAAAGTTTGCACAATAGCTATCATATCAGGAGGTGTTTAAAATACTAGTTTTCTTTTAATTTCGTATTAGACTTTGGAAAGCTCAAACTATGGACACGACTGTAAAGCTTCTGGGAGTCAGTTACCGATCACGCATATGGAGTGAAAGGAAGGAGTGCCCAGTTTTGCTATGTTAGTTCTATCTCCTGTTCAGACACCTCCAGCGATTGGGAGGAGATGAATTAACAAAACCAAAATTAATGAGACTGAGTTTTGTCTGATGACCTGCCAATCAATGACAGCTTCCAAACGGTCATTTCTGTTGTATTTCAGACATACCCCTGTCAAAAACAAGTAATTAGGAATGTATTTACTGGTGGCTCCTGCCAATACTAGAAGCTTTCATTTGATTCCAGAAAACTTTCTTCTTTAAAAAGTCAGCCAAAATGATGAACCAAACATTCGGTCTTAGTTGTGGTGATAACAGCTTCGACTGATTTATTGCATCTTTACAAAACCAAGATCAACTATAATACCTATTAGGGGCTTTAAAAAAATTTTTTTTAAATGAAATGAATCTCTGAACAGATGAACACATAGGGAATAAAATCCAGTAATCCAAATCTAAAGATGATATGATTCAAAGTGTTAAGTAGTGAATTGCATTTTTTTAGACATTCTGAGCAGTATCAGCAGGAGGGACAGAGGGATCATATGGAAACTCCAGGAATCCTCTCCAATCAATATCCAGTCTAGCTGAAATGAAAACAGTTTAATGAGTACCCTGTGGCATGGTTAGCCATGATCTAGTTTATTTGTCTTCTTGAAAACTAACATTCACGTAGAGACTGTATAAGTACTTTCCTAAATTGTCTGATTCTTATATTTATGTGAATATTTTAATATTTTGTCTGAATTGCCAAGTAAATGATTAGCTAAATGTCCTCATTTGTGTGTTGCCAATGCTTAATGACTGGCCTCAAATGATTATCTCTTATCTTCTTTTCTAGTTCCAGTCGAGCCCAGCACACAGCACCATTTGCTGAGTACTGTTCAATGTCAATAACATGTATCCCCAAACTGCAAGTTCATTCCCAGCATAAAGACTCGGGGAAAAAAAAGACTTTTGAGAGGAAGAATGCACTATTATGGAAGTTATCAGCTTCCCATACACAAATGCAATGCATTAACAGAATTAGGTTGTTGGAGTTGTGAAATAAGAATCTACAAACAGAAGATGCTTTTGCCTTAAACTTTTTTTTAATTCCTTCTGTAGTTCTAATTCTAACGATTAATAATGTAATTCAGCATTAGATAAGGCAAAATAAAATTTAGGTGACCACCAGGTGCTAATCTGAATCTCTCAGATTTTCCTCTCATTTTTCTTTTTTGTTCATAGACCTTCTAAAAAAATTTTCTCAGATATGTCAGAATTAACCAGTGATTTCTAACATGCAGAAAATTCTTAAATTTTTGCTTCTTTTGATGAATCAAGGTCAAATAGGGTACATTAGAAACCTATGTATTCAAGCAATAAAATATCACTTAGCATAATGCTTTCTATCTTGGAGGAGTTTTTTGAGAGGGTATTTTATGAGGAAAATGTCGAGATTTCTATTTCTTCTTCCTTTTGTGGAGACTTGAGGGAGCTTGTGCGTACTTGACAATAGAAGGACCTAATGAAGCTGCGCAGGAAAGAGAAGCAATTGTATCTTCTGAAAAATGAATAATTTTGAAGTGTTTTCCATTTTGAGGAGAGACAAATTAAGATGACACAATTTACTGAAGGATTTGTAGATCGATCTGTCCTTAAATGAATGAAAGGACCCTGATAACTTTGAAAGTCACATGTGAGGCTCAGTTCTTCTGAAAGAACTTTAATTGGGGTGTATAAATGTGAAGAAAAAAATAAATTCAAGTTTTTCCAAGACTGTTTCTTCCATAGTTTAGCAATATGTTCTTTTTTATTTTGGTTGCTAAGTAACTATAATGGATGTATCCTACCATCAAGTCAGAACTACAAATTGTTTATTTTTATGGACAAAATCAAGTAAAGCAGAATGCTTAAATTTGCAAATGTATCATTTAATCATATGTAAAATTCTAAGGCCTTTCAAAAGGCAAGAAAGTAAAAAGTAGGAAAAATTTGTAAGTATACTTGAAACTTAATGTTCAACATGGTAACCATCAGTCATATGTATCTCTTTAAATTAAACTTAATTAATTAAATCCAATTAAAAATTCAATTTCCCAGTCTCACTAGCCACCTTTCAAGTGCATAGGAGCCACATGTAGCTAGTAAGTCCATACTGGATGATTTACATTTAAAACATTTCATCAGCACAGGAAGTTCTATTGGACAGTACTGGTCTACGCTATTATTTTGGGGGAATTAAAGCTTAAGACATTTTGCATAATAAAAGCACATTTCTATTTCTGTTTGTTAAAGTTATTTTTTTTTCAATCTGTGAACATAATTTTGATTAAGTTCTTTGAAAAATTGCTGCCTGCTCTGTAAGCTTCTAAGGAGACCATGTATGGCAGACTATATATAATGTTCCTCAAAGAGTTTACTGAATCTCTAAGTATTTTAAAAATATATTTGCTCTCCAAATTAGTTGTCAGTTTTATTTTTGGAAATGCTAATGCTTCTTACTGGCTGTGAATAACAGTAACGGACATAGTAAAGGCACACTGTAGCACTAACAGTGTCACCAGATCTGAAACACAGATGCCTGCGAGAAAGCGGCTGGGGTCCAGAAAGCGCAGATAACG